TCTCAGTACTACTCTGTCGAAGGCTGACCGACCGCTTTCGGAAAATTTTCTGATACTTGGGACACAAAAGACTGCCTGTACGACAGAAGAGAGTTGCCTTAGCGAACAACTTTCAGTCACTTGGGCTCCTATGCATAATGATGGTCAAACGACAGGACCACGTGAGGCTGTTGTCTTCCGGGGACAACACCTCAGAAGATGTGAGATTAAGAAAAGTAGGTTAACACTTTTAGACAAACTGGTCGTGCACCGATCACTTAATCATGTCCGTATGCTTCTGAACCAGCGTCTACGTCGATCAGGAGGCAGCATGAAATATGGGAGGAAAACGACAGAAGCAGATCTGTCTTTTGGAGAGGAACAATGTTCATACAACGCGGTATCCTTGTAGCAACAGAGTTGAAAAGCTGTAAATACAATGGGCAAACCACAAACGTTCCGACTATGCAAATGGTTGAAGATGATGATTACAGCAAACGTTGGCTGATACGGTAGAAATAGCTACACGAGCAGCCAATCAATGATTAATAATACTATATTAATACAAATACAAATATCAGAAGACATTACGGTCAGATAAAAATTAGAAAAGATATTCTAATCATGTCAATCATATTACAATGGGGCACCCAAAGTAGTCAGTCAGCTCAATTTATGTGATCACGGCAACAATATCAAATTTGCGAATATCTCAACAACCTGCTTTGAAGTTGTTGAGCACTTAATAACAATCTCCGGAGTAGGGACCAATATTTTCAGGGTACAACGAAAGGAATATAAGGAGTGACAGATCATGAAATATCACTAGTAACGTCTAAAGTAATGTCCAAGCCAATAAAACAATGATAACTGAATCAACACACTGAATCAATGGGCTAACTCAGCTTGCAACCGTAGACTGCGTAAATGATTCTCCAGGAATATAGATAATGCATGAACTGTGAAGTCCGATGTTTGAGGATTTATGAGCTCGTATTTAACAACAATAACAACACTAGCTACACAGTCTGCCGATTATGACTCAAGATAATTAGCTGTCAGGAGGGGGTAAAGGAGAATTACGGTCGTAAGAAGCAGTTGCATCACACAGAACGGTCGTACCGTTCGTCTGCTCTGCTCTGATACGATCAAATCATCAGGTATCCATATTGATCAAAAGTCAATGAGTTACTAGCCGTTTTTCAGCTGGTGATCAGAAAGAGCATTGGGCTAACTAGCTGCTCAAGGGAATTAACATAACATAATTTTTCTGGAATTCGATCTCCAGTGCATCCGAAGTTCACACTCGATCCATTGCCACCATGACACCATCAAATACCTACCGTTTTTCTTTAACTAATAAAATATGTTCCTGAGTAATGGCCAACCGGTTAGTTCTGATGACCGTTTATTATTTTAGGAACAGAGGCAGACGCGTCAGACAGATTCTACAACGTTGGTGATCCTGTGTTAGCATTTGAGCGTCGGCACAAGGCAACCGGGATCTGGAGCAGCGTGCGTCAAGATATTAGCCTCAAATCATTCTTGACCGAATCCTGAGTCTTTGGTGGGGGTCGGATGCGCAAGTTGACCTGTTTGCCTTCGTTTTTGGAGGCATTCGCAACACATGCCCAAGCCATTGCAAGCAAAGGCTGTAATCCAAGGCTCTTCCGGATGTCACTATTCCGGACCATGTCGAGACGCGTAAGGCCAGCTACTCGTCG